CCAGGAGCGGCGAGCGAAGCTCGGTATGGAAAACCGTGTTCCTCGTACGCCTGAGGAGTTTGAGGCTGCATGGCTCAAGTCCCCTGAATACAAGCAATTGCTGAATGAAATTGCTGAATATGAAAGTCAAAATCCCGTTGGACATGATGTGCCAGCCGTTGCTGATCTCCAGGAATGGAAGCGTAGCGCGCAGGCCAAACACAGCCGGCCCAAGTCTCCATACATCATCAGTGTTCCTATGCAAATCAAACTCAACACCGTTCGCGCCTATCAACGACTTTGGAACGATGCTGCCGCAACAATCTCTACAATCGTCACTAATATCATCATGGCTCTGATTATCGGATCAGTCTTCTACGGGACCCCGGATGCGACTGCAGGCTTTACATCCAAGGGTGCAACTCTGTTCTTTGCTGTCCTTCTCAATGCTCTCACCGCAATGTCCGAAATCAACAGTCTCTACTCACAACGCCCAATTGTCGAAAAGCATAACTCCTTTGCATTTTACCATCCTGCCACAGAAGCCATTGCTGGTGTCCTCAGTGATATACCAGTAAAGTTTGCATTGTCTGTCGTGTTCAACATCATCCTATACTTCCTGGCTGGTCTGAAGCGAGAACCATCCAACTTCTTCCTCTACTTCCTCATCACTTTCATTATCACGTTCGTCATGAGTGCAGTCTTCCGCACATTAGCCGCTGTTACCAAAACTATCTCACAGGCAATGGGTCTGGCAGGTGTCATGATTCTGATCCTCGTTGTTTACACCGGTTTTGTGCTCCCTGTTCCATCTATGCACCCGTGGTTCGAGTGGCTTCATTATCTCAATCCGATCTACTATGCCTTCGAGATTCTGATTGCCAACGAGTTCCATGGTCGCGAGTTCCCTTGCTCGTCCTATGTTCCTTCCTACGCAGACCTATCAGGCGATGCATTCAGTTGCACTGCGGCGGGCTCCGTGGCAGGCTCGAGAACTGTCAACGGTGACCGGTACATTGCACTGAACTACTCCTACAGTTACAGCCACGTCTGGCGAAACTTCGGTATCCTGATAGCCTTCTTGGTCGGTTTCATGCTCATCTACTTTGTTGCAAGCGAGCTGAACTCCGCTACTACAAGCACTGCCGAAGCTCTGGTCTTCCGCCGCGGTCACGAGCCTGCCAGATTCCGCCAGGACCACAAGTCCGGATCCGATGTTGAAAGTACTGAGGCATCCAAGGCTCCTGCTGCGGATACAGAAGACAAGGGAATGGGTGCTATGGAAGCTCAGACCGATACCTTCACTTGGCGCGATGTGTGCTATGATATCGAGATCAAGGGCGAGCCACGTCGTCTCTTGGATAACGTTTCCGGATGGGTTAAGCCAGGAACGCTGACTGCACTTATGGGTGTCAGTGGAGCTGGTAAGACGACTCTGCTTGATGTATTGGCACACCGCACATCGATGGGTGTCATTACTGGTGATATGTTTGTCAATGGTCGTGGACTTGATGAGAGTTTCCAGCGAAAGACAGGTTATGTTCAGCAGCAGGATCTTCACCTCGACACTGCTACTGTGCGTGAGTCTCTGCGATTCAGTGCTATGTTGCGTCAGCCAGCCTCCGTCTCGGTTAAGGAGAAGTACGACTATGTCGAGGATGTGATCAAAATGCTGAAGATGGAGGAGTTTGCCGAAGCCATTGTTGGTGTCCCTGGTGAAGGTCTGAATGTCGAGCAGCGCAAACTGTTGACTATCGGTGTCGAATTGGCCGCCAAACCCAAGCTGCTACTCTTTTTGGATGAGCCTACCAGGCAAGTACCCTAACCAACAAATTCTCATGCCTTTTCAAATACTAACTCTGTTTTAGTGGTCTTGACTCTCAGAGTTCTTGGGCTATCTGTTCATTCCTTCGCAGGCTTGCCGAGCACGGCCAAGCAGTTCTTTGCACAATTCATCAACCCAGCGCCATGCTCTTCCAACAATTCGATCAGCTACTGTTCCTCGCCCGAGGCGGTAAGACTGTGTACTTTGGTCCGGTCGGAGACAACTCTAGCACAATGCTCGAGTACTTCGAGTCCAACGGTGCGCGTAAGTGCGCGGATAGCGAGAACCCAGCTGAATACATGCTGGGTATTGTCAATGCTGGTAAGAACGACAAGGGCCAAGACTGGTTCGACGTGTGGAAGCAGAGCAACGAAAGCAAGCAGGTCCAAGTCGAGCTCGAGCGAATTCATAAAGAAAAGGCAAACGAACCCTCTGGCGCCGATGATTCCTCACAAGGCCACTCTGAATTTGCCATGCCATTCTGGCTCCAACTAACCCAGGTCACATACCGTGTGTTCCAGCAATACTGGCGCATGCCAGCCTATATTCTGGCAAAATGGGGACTTGGAATTGTGTCTGGTCTATTCATTGGTTTCTCGTTCTATGGTGCCAAAACGTCGCTGCAAGGCATGCAGACTGTCATCTACTCTCTCTTCATGATTTGTACAATCTTCTCGTCATTGGCGCAACAGGTATGCTCAAATCCAGATTCCAAGCAAGTGAACATACACTAATCTCACCAGATCATGCCCGTGTTCGTCAGCCAGCGATCGCTCTACGAGGGACGTGAACGTCCTAGCAAATCATACTCCTGGAAGGCTTTCCTTATCGCAAACATCATTGTGGAGATCCCCTTCATGATCGTCATGGGTGTCCTGACCTATGCCTCCTACTTCTATGCTGTCGTTGGAGTCCCCGACTCAGCAACACAGGGAACCGTCCTCGTGTTCTGCATTGTCTTCTTCATCTACGCCAGCACCTTTACCCACATGGTCATTGCTGGTCTCCCAGACGAAACAACCGCCAGTGCTGTAGTCGTTCTTCTCTTCGCGATGTCTCTGACGTTCTGCGGTGTGATGCAGCCCCCAACTGCCCTTCCCGGCTTCTGGATCTTCATGTACCGTGTCTCGCCATTCACATACTGGATCGGCGGCATGGCTGGCACACAGCTTCACAATCGCCAAGTGGTATGCTCGACCTCCGAACTATCCATCTTCAATCCTCCTTCTGGCCAGACTTGCGGGGAGTACCTCATGAAGTACGTCACCGCCGCTGGTGGTCAGTTGCTCAACCCCGAGGCTACGAGTGATTGCAGCTACTGCTCTCTCAAAGTTGCAGACCAGTACCTGAGCACGGCCGGTATCTCTTACTCCGACAGATGGCGCAACTTCGGTATCATGTGGGCTTTCATTGGTTTCAATATCTTCGTTGCTACTCTCATGTACTACCTTGTCCGTGTGAAGCGGTGGAACAGTGCCGATATGAAGGCATCCATGACGAAGCTCATTCCTGGCAAGAAATCGAAGGCCAGTAACTAAGTTTTGTCACTGCTTTCTTGCTAATATTTGTCAATCCTTTTGTCTATATTCTATATTTCTTTGCCATTTTTCTCTGATCTTTTTGTCCGTTCTCTCAAATGCCTTTTCGGCCATCCACTGACCTTGCTGTTTATCTCTCATACATTTTGTCACTTTAAGTCTCTTGCATTGCATTGCACAAAGAGAAAATACTTATTTAATTAACTATACATACCTATATACATCACTAGAAATCACCTTGTTATACGCATTTCTAGTTCACTGTACCCAGTATCAACTGCAACCTTGAAGCTACTAGTATCCTGCAACCCAATTTCTTTACACCCCTAACAATGGCAGTAATCGTATCACTACCAGGCCGTCACCGTAGAAGTAGATGATTACCTGTCGCTTTCCAGTATGCACTATGTGGACGTGATGACTGTTCGGGCTTTATCGCCAATTTTCTTGTAGTATGTGGCTTAGATGATGCGGTTCCTATTGTTGCTGTATCTGAAAGAGGTCTAATTTTAAGATAGCTAAAGTAAACTGGTCGTTTATTAGGGGTTTCGGTTTAAGTGTAGCTTTGATGTGACGAGAATTTACCAGGAATTAGCACTCGATCTGTCTCTAGTTCATGTTCCGTCACCAAGTAGGTATCGAGGTGCCTTCCCGATTCAGAAGTTATGATGTTTGACCCTAATATATAAATACCTTCCTTCTCTTACTTCTCCTCCTTCCTTCTTTTTCGCTCTCTCCCAAGTTGTGTTACTTTACACGGGCTTCGACACCAGACTCACCTATGACGAGCGGCACTGAAGGGGGACGGGCAGCGGGCTGCCACGGTTCAAGATGCCAGTGAGGATACATAAAGAGGAGGAATATCTGTTACTGGTGAGAGAAGTAGGGGGATGCTGCACGGGCGACCGTTTGAGCACATCAGGGTAGGAAGCACACCAGGACTCTTTTCTCGGACACAGTGGGCGTTCGTCTTCTCAAGCCTCGGCGTTCGCTTAAGCAACGGTTAAGGGGAACTGATTTTCTGGTACTGTGGACTTTGGTGAAGTGGGCTCGAGGGAGAAGGCGGGTGGTGGGTTATTTCTTTTGCTCTGTGATGAATCGGTCTTGATGATGTTTCACATCCATCGGACGTGGCGACACCCTCTGTGGCGGCCGGGCAAGCTTGATCGGAGGCTCGCAATTTGACCTACTGAGAGCAACTTTTTGTACTTGATTCTTTTCTTATGTAGTATCCTTGTGGGCTTGTAAGATGTGAGCAATTGACTGATGAATACGTCTATTTGTTTCAAGAATCACTATATGTATTATGAAACTTTAGATTTGATTCATTAACTGTATCTATGTTAATACCAGTACGGCCTACAGGTAAGCTTGACTTGGTTATAAAATATATCATACATGTACCACTACTTGGCTTATCATTCTCTTATTCCAAGATGTCGAAATACTTGATCTTTCAATCAAATAAAGCCTTTCAACTGTTGGATCCATTTTATAGATCTATAGATCCAAGGATCGTCAGAACTAACCTTATCTGTCTTATCAGTGACGCACAGACCAACGGACCCGGGGCCATCGGCTGCACCAACGTCAGGGCCGCCGTAACACCGTCGAACCAACCAATCGTCCGACAGCCCCCTAGGTCCCAAAATACCAACATGGATCCCGACGCCGGCATCCCCGCCGAAGCCGAACCCTCTGTCTTCAACTACGTTCTCTCCTTCCTACTCGTCGGCGTCGCATGGGGCTTCACAACCCCCTTTATCCGCCGCGCAGCAGCAGACTTCAACGCCCGACAAGAGAAGCAAGCAAACGAATCCAACTCCCGAGGCCGCTCACAAGAATCACCAGAAACCGGGTTCACAGATGCGGGCGAGGGACAGGAATTGCTCTCTCGGGAGGAACAAGACCGTGACTCCGGTGACGAGGAAGGTGTGCGGAGACGGAGTACGAGTAGCAATGCTGTGAACCGAAAACCGAAGACTGCGGACGCAGATACGGGACTGGATGGTGGAATTGCTGGTGCGAGTAGTCGCGATACTATGGAAAACAGGGAAGGTGGTGCAGATGAGGACCAGGATGATATACCCACGCCGGCGTGGAGACGTGGGGCGCCTGTGAAGCAGTCGTGGCTGCGGACGAAGGTTGTCACTATTTTCTGGACGGTTGTTAACCTGCTTCGCACGCCTGCGTATTCTATTCCCTTGGTTATCAATCTCACGGGTAGTATTTGGTTCTTTTTGCTTGTTGGGAAACATGGTAAGTGCCATTCCTTTGGGTTTCTTGGCTTTTGATGCTGTGGGTTTGGGATGTGGAATTTCTAACCAATTACTTTGTAGAACTCTCTTTGACTGTGCCGCTTGCAAACTCAAGTGCGTTCTTGTTTACTGTTCTTGGGGAGTGGTATGTTGAGCGTAAGGTGATTGCGAGGCAGACCTGGTTGGGCATGAGCTTGGTACTTGGAGGGATTGCGTTATGTGTGCATTCTAAGAACCAGGCTTCTTAAAGTTGATTCGATTTGGGATTAGGGAATTGGTGCTGATTTATATGGTGTCAATATATTTGGTGCATGCTAGACACTTGATGGAGCAATGTAGCTTATTTGGAGCCTCCGAGGAAATCTCACAGCTGACAGAAATGGCACTATGTTCACCCATTACTTGAAACTTTGCATAATGAACTCTTGACTACACAGTTACCGTGATGCCTCGGATTTCTCTACACACACTACTTCTTTTCGATAAACGCAAAGTTTGCAGAATAATCAATACTCCATATCTACAGATACAGTACAGAAATTCCCAACCACATAAGAAGCGCAAAAATCATCGGCCCAGGTATACATATATGCAAAGGCAAGCACATGAAAAGGATGCACCGGACTGAACGATAAAAAAAAGACAAAACCAGAGAAACCACGATACCATGTCATTCCGCGTGTCGCAAAGGACGAGAGGGATATCGCGGGCAAGTCATCAAACGTATTACATTTTCCATTTCCATTTTTCATTTGCGTACCAGACCGGACCCGCCGTGGTATTGTAACCAAATCCAAATCCGGATAAAATCAGGGGATATATGAAAACATAGCATTGCTGCTGGCGCAAAAGAACACAATCATCATGCTTAAAGTACACTCAATCAAACTCCACGGAACTAGAATGTGAATATTAGTATGCGGTTGACAGAAATAGTGGTACAAGGAAGATAACTCACCATACGAACAACCAGGTACCACATTGCACCTATGAACTTGAACATTGACAGACCAGCAACACTCCAGAGAACAACTTCCATGTAGATCATGGAGCGTTCGGTCTGCGCATCGTCGTCAGATGTGTCCTCGAAGGTTTCCAAACCGGCAGCGCTCAGAACAACGGCACCAAGAGCAAAGTTGCAGAATACCCAGGCGAGCACGACGGCACTGCGGAATCCCTTGTAGTAGTCGGCTTGCTTCTCTTCCTCAGAAACAACCTGGACCTCCTTGGGGGGCTTCATGGCGAACTTGGCCAACTCCGCCTCATACTGCGCGTTAAGATCGCCATCGTCTTGCGGAATATTGACGTCGACCTTACCGCCGGGCTTAAGGTGGGCAGAGGGCAGTTTCTCGGCCTTGTCATCTCCCTTGGTACCCCATGTGATATCGTGCGTGTTGCAGAACGCGTAGATGTTGAGGACGTTGATATAGGTTGGCGTGAGCAAGATGTATTGAATGAACTGGAGGATGTTAGAAGACTCATAAAAATTAGATCCACCGTATAACTTACACTGGTGAACATGTGCCATGGGTCCAGGAAGATGAACGAGGCGATGAACCACATGACGTAGGTCGATCCAAGGGAGACAATGATAGAAAAGAACGTCTTGTTGGTGAATAGTTCGCTGACCGTAAAGCTGTTTGAGGCCACCTCTGTTTGGATCGATTTCACCGTAACGAAAATGGCAGCGAATGCAAGATATATCATGATCACGATCCAGAAATAGACCATGGTCATATAGAACTTGTTGGATCCGCCGGGTCGATTACCAAGAGCTAAAACGAAGCACGTAACAAGAGTTGCCAGGTATAGCCATTCAAAGACAATACCTAGAACCTTACCAGCAGTACCCAGTAGATCATCTGAGCCCAAGTATGTTGTCAAGATGTGGAAAACCAAGAAGAAGTTACCCTGCACAAGGCGTTAGTATAGATAAAATAAAAGATAATGGTGAAGGGGAGGGATCGTACAATTCCGAACCACGCGAAAATCATCGCAATTGTTTGATAGACGAACTCAACCATCAACATGCACTTGCGAACCATGCTGTGATCACTGCGGAAGATCTGGTAGAAATGGGCTATGGCGTAAACTGCAGCGAAGAAACTGCCATTCAGCCAACGACGACGCTGGAGAATGAACTCGGCCATTTGATCAGGCACATCGGTTTCACCAGTTGACGACTTGACGTACTGAAGGAGCCATCTGCACTTCCGCTTGGAGACAATCTCAAAGCACAGGATTCGATCCTCGGCCAAGTACATGTTGGCCGTGAAGATACCGGCATTGGCACCGTGCATCTTCTCACCTAGGAAGTACCGCTCTAGTGGGCCTTGGCCGTTCTTGTCGTTTTGTAGTGCGACGAACCGGTAGGCGGAGAACGCACCAGGCAGCACAGTAATGAAACCGAATGAAGACTCAAGCGGTTTATCGAGAATGTTGCTGAGCTTGTACTCGAAATTTTGACCAGCCACCAGCGGGTTCAGTAATTTCTTGCCGTGAGACAACATGACCTTGATCTCACCACATGCACCACCGCACATGGGCTCGACATCGAAGGCCTTCCAGAGGTGATAGATCGAGTCCTTGCCAGGTTTGGTACCCGCATCCAAGAGGACACAAATGTTGGGATCCAAAACACGACCGAAGGCTTGGAAGAACCATCTATGAGAGTTGATCTTCTTCTGATTCTTTTCCTTTAAACAGAAGATCAGCTGCACAGGAGGACCAGATCGAGGCTTGAGATGCACTTGGGTGCCCTTCACCTCCAACCCAACTTGAGTGGTGTACTCGTAGATGTGCGCGGTAACGTCCTTGCCGTTGACTTGTTGTTTCGCAATGCCGTCCTGGTAGACACCCAGACCTGCCAGCACAGCGCGCGTCCGAGGGTTGATCTTGGCACGACCGTCGCTAATGATACAGACTACAATCTTCTTCCACGAATCCTTACCCCACGTTTTGCTGCTTGTGCGCGAACACATGTAATCAATGTTCTTGAACACACCGGACATGGTGCGCGCAAAGAGGAAGTCATCTTCATTGTACATGGTCACGACGATGAAGAGTTCGGTGTTGCGAGGCTTTGCGAAAAGCTTCTGACGGAGGGTAAATCGCTCTTCGAAGAAATCGGCAGGATCGCATGTCGCTGCCGAATATCGCATGTGCGTGAATTCATCGCGACCTGGTGGCTCTGCGTGGGGTACTTGGCTGAGCAGTCTCGGCGCAATGGGACAATCGAGGACAAGGTTGCCGTTGAAAAGTTGGACTTCTTTCACGGTCTTCCAACGGCGAATAGGTGCTGGGCTGGGCGTCGGGGCCGGTTCATCCTGGAACTCAGTATACGGGTTCGGCTCGAAGGGGTTTTCGGCCGGTTGCAGCATAGGCTGATCAACTTCAAAGGGAGTGTGTCCTCCCTCTGGGTACTGGCCTAGGTCATAATCATCATGCGGGGTATGTGTAGGCTGGTATGGTTGGGTGTAGTAGGCGTCGTGATGGGCTTCGGGGTCGACCGAATACTCATGTCCAGGATAAGGATGGTGTGCGTCATATGCGTCATGGTGGCCATAAGAGTGATCAACATTCTCGACGGAGTACTGTTTCCAAGGTAGATTGTCAGTATTCATTCCTACCCACCATAATTCGCTGTGGTCTCGTAATACTCACAGTGGGTTGTTCGGCCAAGCGATCACTGGATGGCATGGGAAGATGCGACTGGGGCCCATATGGGTTGTCTGAGAGCTGGTAGCCATGCTCCAGTGGTCGCCCGGGAGAAGGAGTGCGATTGCTGTATCCCGTAAGATGGGAGGGATTCAAGATGGGCGAGGTATGCTCGTCTCCGAACGGGTCTGTCCGTGACATAGTTAGTTTTGAGACGTAAAAGAGTCTTTAATGAAAGTTTGAAAGGCAATAATTCGACGTCGCAATTTGTACCGAGACCATTGAATCAATGACCTGCACTGATTTGCGCAGTTTCAGAGAGATGGAGAATGCGTGGGTAATATGAAAAGAGTGAGAGGGAGGCGGGGGTCCAATAAGGCTAGAGGAGTACGTACCGGCGTCCACACGATTGTAGGCCATAATGGAGGAGCCTTGGGATCAAGTTCAGATTATCCCGCCCCAAGTTTGTAGCAGGGGTTGTTGGAGATTGCGCCAGGAGCGCCGAGTGGAATATTAAGCGTCAGCGGGAGAGATCACTAGTCCGATTAACGGATCCGAGTTCTCGGCGTCGTTTCAGATATGAAGAAGGATTGCAAGCGAAATTCGATACAAGGAAAGGGTATATGGATTATGGATTGTCAGCGCTGAAGGTGAAGAGGAACAGCGATCAAAAAAAATGTGGAATAAAATCCGGGTTGCCCGCTGTTGTTTACGACGCCTTTCGATTCCTGGCAACGATATGGTGGATATGGGGACGAATCAAAAGTGTCCGTGCTGCTCCGCACTGCCTTGTGGAGATACCTTCACACGCTGATTAGGCCTGTTGTATAGAGATGCAGGGCACAGTCCTTAGATAAAAAAAAGAGCAGAATCTTCAGGTACTTCGGAACAAAAATCTCCAATGATATTGCAGTAATTAAGGAACCTTGGGAAGTTCTGAAACCTTTGAGCCACGGGTTGATGTTAAGAGGAGACACTCCACTTGAAGAGGACGATCTTGTTACTGGGCCAACTGACTGGAACTCAGCCACATTAGGCTTGTCATATGTGGCTCATCCATTATCTCAGCCCTAACCAATTCCACTGCCTCAGTGGGCAGCCAGTGGCAGTCAGTTCTATGGAGTACCCTGATATGCACTCATTTCCTGTTTCTTTTTTTAGAATCTGAGGTCATTGGAGGTCACTTTTCTTTTTCTTTTAACTAAAAAAAAAACAGCTGCCTGTTCCTACGATGAGTAGATGATCTCCCTCTAGCTTCAATATGCTATGTTTGTGCCTTGTTCTGCACAAGCTGTAGTTTTTGCTTTTTTCCTGCTTTCTTTTGGTGCACGACATATGTGCAGCATGTACAGAGTACGGAGTAATGCAATTGAAGATATCTCTCCAAGGCTGGTGGAGACCCCAACTTAGGGCCTATCGATAACCCCCCGCCTTGCATCGTCAAATTTGAACCAGGCCGTTCCTGGTATACCATTGTCTACTACTATTGTGTCACTTACTTCCTAGCTTTGCATTTCCTGAAAAAAAAAAATCACATAAAGATTCCTTGGTGATCCCCGCTACCCCGCTATGGCTTCCAACTCGAACGCGCGCCCCGCCAAGGTGTTATTTGTCTGCCTGGGAAACATCTGTTCGTCATACTCGGTTTTTCTCCGCCATTACGATCTACTAACCCAGTCTAGGTCGTTCCCCCATGGCGGAAGGAGTGTTCCGCAACCTGGCCGGCGCTCACCCCTCTGTCGGTGAGATCGACTCCGCCGGTACAGCCGCCTACCACAGCCTCGAGCCGCCCGACTCCCGCACCATGTCTACTCTGCGCCGCCACAAAATCACCGATTACGAGCATGCTGCCCGTAAAGTGACAAGGGAAGACTTCCTTACATTTGACTATGTGCTTGCTATGGACAAGTCGAATCTCCGCGACCTGCAGGATGTGCGCGATTCGGTCATTGCGACACTGCAGAGGAAGACCGACACCAAGCCAAGCTCAAGGAGTACGCGTTCGCACGTCGACGCCGCTATTGGTGCATATGGGGCTGATACGAAGGTTGCCGAGGTGCGGTTGTTTGGTGATTTCGGCAAGGGTGGGAAACTGCACGATCGCGTTGGCAGTGGTGAGGTGGTTAAGGATCCTTACTATGGGGGTGCTAATGGCTTCGAGGAGGTGTACCAACAGGCTGTCCGATTCTCCCAAAACTTCCTGGAATACTTGGAGCAAAACCCCATTGACTCTTGAGTGAACGGTGCTGGCCACACCAACGGGGGATAAAAGTCAGAGACCATGAACCTAGGCGGTTATTTTATTGATACCCTGTGACGAGAGATAGAGTAGATCGGGCACATAAATCAGAATTAGAATATACAATGTTAAATATGGCTAGCAATATCGAGATGAGTAGTCGGTATAGTACATAGAGTCCTGGGTGGCAGCAGAATATATAAATGGCAGCGCAACCCCGGCACATGCGTCCCACCAAATTGTCGTATCAAATCTTCTCGCTGATCTTGATAGCGGTCCTGCATCCAAGACGAATGACATCAACGAGCGGATCGTAGGGCTTCGCCTCCTTTGAGTCGTTGGCCACGGCATGGTCGAGGTGTTCCAGTTCCTCGTCACGAATTCTCCGGAATGTGGCCAACATTTCTTTAAGCTCCTCATCAAGCTCCTCCCCCGCCTTTCGGCATCTGCCTCCCAAGACAGAATCTCTCTTACTTGGTCGTTGTAGTGTGATCCAATTTCAGTTTCCACGGCTTCAGTGCACGCCATCGCAGCTTCGCGACCCAATGCCGCCGTCGACCAACCCAAAAATGTGGCAGCTACCTCCCATGCCGGATACATGGCTGTCGGACGGATTTGGTGCTTGGCGATGAGGTGATTGAAAGTCTTGAGGTGCCCGGCTTCCTGGTCGTACATGTGTTTCATCAAGGGTCGGAGGTGTGGGTATGAGCGGACGATCTGGGGTGTTTGCGCTTTGTAGATCAGCGTTGCGGCAAGCTCACCGGCCTGATTCACTCGCAGGGCGCTGTCCATGAATTCTCGCTGCTCTTTGCTAAGAACATATAGAGGTTTAGAGCCACCGGAGGTGCCGGCGGTAGTTGAAGCCTGCCGACATTGGCGATGCTGAGATGTTGACGGCACGAGGAAATCGAGAAAAATAGGAGTTGCTGCAGGTACAGAATAACGGGAATGTGACAAGGCGCACCTGCGCAGAATAGGTAAAGGCAACATCGAGAAATCAAATTGGACTACTAATTGAAGCCAATTCCAGGGACGAAGCTCAAGAAGTCGCGTGTTGGTCGCTTATACCGCCTTGGCGCTGCCGCGCGCTTATAATGGGCTTGGCATTTAACGTCATGAAGTTGACGGCTAAGGCCAACTTGCGACGACCATCTACGTGTTTTTTACGATACCCTCCATTACGTTCTCCCTTCGTCCCGTGTATAGGGTGTTTGTTGAACTTGGGACATTCCTCTATCTGGAACAGACGTTTTGGACCACTTTTTTGCAAGTCTTGCCAACTTCTCCATATTTGGAACGACTCCTGGAAAAGAGAGAATAAGTTCATAGGAGCACGAATACTCCTGTTCTTAAGGCTGTTGAATGCCTATTGATATATAGGCACTTTGTTCATTGAGTTCTATTGAGGGTATAAGTGTATTGAGAGATATTCACAATGGCGGACGATTTGGATGCTGAGCTGCTCGCTCTGGCGGGTGACTCTGAGGAGGAAACTTCACCACCCCCCAAATCACCAGCGCACTCCGCCTCTTCACACGACGAAGATCGAGATACCTCACCTGCAGCCATGGCTCGCAAAGGAACTGCCAAATCGGTGGGGCGCCGATCCCGCAAGCCCGCGAAAGATGAATCGGAGGGTGAAGTGTGAGCAGTGCCCCTCTATTTTTATAATCAAGAGCCGAACTGACCCGGCAATCTGTACAGGTCTGACGATGAATCCCGCCACTCGCTTCAGTCTGCCCCAATGTCCGAGTCCGAGTCAGAGGCCGACAACTCCGAGGACAACGACGAGGATCGCCCCATTTTCCCATATGAGAAGTTGTACTACTCGGCCCAGGACAAAAAGGACATCATGGCTATGCCTGAAATCCAGCGCGAGGAAACCCTGTCCGAACGTGCCCAGCAAGTCGATCGCCACAACCAGGATCTGGCTCTACGTCGCCTTCTAGCCTCTCGCTCGCGCGAGGAAGCGCGGGCAGCTAAGAAAGCCAAGCGAAAGGCAGGCTCAGCCGGCTTGGATGACAATCAACGCAAGAGCTCGCGCCAGAAGACCACTCTTGGAGGCCGCAAAGTCGGAGAAACGTCCGGGGCCATCGAGGCTTACAAGCGTCAGCGTGAGCAGAAGGGCAAGCGGGATGAACTCCGTCGCCGAGACCCTACAAAATCGCGCCGCCGTTCGCGCTCCATGGGATCTGATGTTTCTGATGAAGATGCTGATGCCGAGAGTGATCTTGAATTGGATGACCGCGTTGGCCGTTCTGTTTCCATTCCCAAGGATGACCCACCTGCCGAGCTTCGGGAAATCCGACGTGCTCAAGTTGGACGTAATAACTTTGCTAAAGTTTGCTTCTACCCCGGATTTGAGAACGCTATGATCGGCTGCTACGCGCGGTTGAGCATTGGCCCGCACCCCGAAAGTGGTCAGAATGAATATCGCCTGGGTCTGATTACTGGTAAGAACTTATGCTGCCTCGATTTTTTATGGATGCTGACCTTTCTCTAGGAATCTCCCAGGGCAAGCCATACGCCTTGGAGGGCGAAAACGGTCGCTCATTTGTCACCGATCAGTATGTCAAGTTGGCACACGGAAAGGCCGTCAGGGACTTCCCATTCGTCACTTTCTCCAATTCTCCACTTACAGAGGTTCGTTTTTGCGCTCTCAAATCTCAAATATTGCAAGCCAACTAACAGACAACTAGGCTGAGTACCGCCGTTATGTTCAGACCCTCGCTGTTGAGGATTGCAAGATGGCTACAAAGGGCAAAGTTGAGTCGAAGGTTGCCGATATCAACCGTCTTCTCAACCATACATTCACTCGGGAGGAGCTGAACGAGAAACTCCGTCGCCAGGGTGCTTTCGACCAGAAGAAGAATGTGCTTAATCGTCTAGAACTTGAAAGAAATCTGGAATTCGCTAAAATGAACGGAAACATGGAGGAAGTCGAGAAGATCGAGGCAGAATTGCAGAAAATGGTCAATCCTACCTTGTCCTGGGGAACAAGCCTTGTCAAGAAAGAGGTCGATAGGGGTCCATCGGAAGCCGAACGAGTTCACCAGATCAACCTTCGAAACCAGAAGCTTAACATTGAGAACGGTCGTCGTGCTCAGCTCGAGGAGAGAAAGGCTGCTAAGAAGGCAGCCGAGGCTGTTGCCCGTGGAGAGGCTGCCCCAAATCCCTTTATGCGCGTGCGAACAGTGGCCAAAACCCACCACGATCTCAGTGGGGCAGCCAAATCCGCTGCTGCCGACGCCGCTTCTGTGGACAACCAGAAAAATACCCCCAATACCGCAAAATCCAATGGTAGTCCCGCACAGAAGGGACCTGCTGCCTCTCGCGTCACTCCAAAGAAGCCCAAGAATGGCTTCATGATCAGCTACCGCAACACTGATGATGAGAACATTGCGGCTCTCGATATGGACATTGACATCGAGATTTAATCTTAGTTAGAAATGCGGTTTTGTCCCGCGTTTCAGTTCGATGACGTTTGTTCGGCCAACCGACTTACTTGAGAAGATTCATTGGTTCTGACTCCATGATTCCCCCGAACAATTCTAATCTCTCAAGGACCCGTGGCGGTGATTGGCTCAAAGCCTCGCCTGCATTGTGATTGTATCTTTTTTTTTGCTTCTGTTTTTTTTTTTCTTACGCGATATTTGAGGAGTCCGTGGGTGATCTCGGCGTCTATTCACAAAATAGCATCAAGCTTTGTATTATGAGATTCCTGGGAAGAACAGCATGAACAATACTCCCATCGTTGTTAGCAGCGCAGCATTGATCTACCGCAAGAGGTACTTCCATCAGAATCACAAAAAAAAAACCCCTACAAAAAAGATTAAAATGAGAAATTATCACTTGCTGTTACAATACTTATTTCCATAGTTGGCCGTAGCAATAATAATCCAATTATCGCCCACTTGGGAGAGCAATTAACCGATAAGATAAGGTCACGTGTGGGGCCTAGCAACGCGAGGAACGCGCATCGCGTTCAGACTATGCGCCCTTGAACCTGGCGTCCACTCCACCTTATTCCGGTCCTTGAAAGTCTCAAAGCCCACCTCTAGGTACAATTGAGATCACGATGGACATCATTTTCTAAAATACACTATAATTCACCATAATATTCACAACATGTCTTCACCATCAACACCACGGTCGACGCGTTCCGCGTCGCCCACAGGCGATTCACCGAACATTATTACGCCCGGCCAGAAGATAAAGGCCATGATGGCGCAATTCGACAGCGATTCGGAAGATGATGACACTCAAATTGCCAAATCAACAAATGCTGTCTCGAAACTTGATCTAGGGCGTGATTCGGTGTCGGCTGCCGATAAAGGCGAGAAGGGCCCATTGCACGACTCAGCAGACGATTTAGACAGCGCAGATGAGATTTTCCGACCAAAAGGCCGTATGGCTGCCCGTTTACAGGGTAATTCTAGATCGGCTGAACCCGAGAATGAAGATTCAGCATTTGCTCGCGTGTCAAAGGCGATCCGACTAGAAAAGGAACAGGACGAGATGCCCCAGCAGAAAGAACCACAACCCACACCCATCGGCGAATCTAGTGATGATGATGACCTACCTATGGCCGGTCCGAGGAGAAAGCATAAATCCACAACCAACTCGCCCAGGGCCGACAACAGAACAAGCCAAAGCCCTCCCCGTTCCAGACCCGACTCTCCTCTCTTCGTGTCCTCTCCAGGTGAACCGCATGACGACATAGACACCCAAACCGAAGACACAGAAAATGCCACTGAGAACAAGTCCAAAGGAAACGCCCGTTTCCTGTCTCTTGTCGCTCAAAAGCGCAAGGAACGCGAGGAGCGAGAGAAAGCCGAGGCCGAAAGGAAGAAGGCCATCCGAAGATTTCAGCTGGAGCAGTTTAGCTCACAGGTCCTCTCAGGTGAGGAGAGCGGTGCTGATGATCCCCATTCTGCGAGCAAGCTCTCCCAGAAGGCTCGTCAACCCCGGAAAGCCAGCAAGAAGGCACTGGATGAAATGAGGCAGGAGACTCAGCGGATGAGCCGTAACATGCAACTAGCTCACCAGGCCAAGACAAAGAAGAAAATTACTAAGGAAAGCCTCTTCGCCAAATTCAACTTCATGCAACCCGCTACCCCGGCCGAGCAGCTCGTGGCAAATTCATCATCAGCAATCGGATCACAAAATTCCTCTGATGGAGAACTACGCAACAAAACCAAAGATACTCCACATACTTCTCCAGTCCTCGAGAATTTGGACGCCACCAAGGCGACTACTGATTCTGAGCATACTCAAGTACAAGAAGCTGATGTGGATATGGATATGGATGCCGACACTGAAGATTTACCTGCCCCGAAAGACCTCCTGGCGTCAAACCAGCATCCTGCATTGTCCAACGGCCCTGCGGTCCAAGAGGTCCCGACTTCCGTATCTAAGCCCAAACCAGAGGGTGCCAAAGTGAAGAGGGTTTCGCGCCCACTAACACAACCACCTATCCGCGTACTGCTTTCTAGGCAACAGGTTGCTGCGCACCAGAAAGATTTGGACGATTCCGATAGCGATCTTGAGGTGGTGACATCCCCTGGCAAGTGCCGTCGCATTGCAGCATTCGAAAACCTGCCTACCAGGCAGATGCATGAAGACCCCTCCATGACCAAACTCAAGGCATTAGCGCATCTGACATCTCCTACCCGGAAAACGGCTTCCATGAACTCCGCAGAGCTTTCTGCAAGTCTATTATGGCGGGCCCGACAGCAAGCGGCCAAGGAGCGCCGGGAGCGCATCGAAGAACTTAGGGCCAAGGGAGTAGTCATTGAAACAGCCGAGGAGCGTGCAGCGATGGAGGATGACATGGAAAACCTCGTCGATAAAGCACGCAAAGAGGCCGATGAAATCCGCCGACAGGAGAAAGCTGCTATGAAGAAAGCTAGCGGCGACGATGACGAGGACGAAGATGATGACTACGAGCTTTCCGGCTCTGACCAGGAGGGTGATGTCGAAGGAGACGA